AAATTTAGCATTACAACACTTGCTCACCAACTGATCCTCTGCAGTGAATGGGTGCCGCCAGGAAAAGAGTTCAAACAGCTGATAAAAACATCACAATAATCCACAAGTTGCCTAATTTACATGACTCCAGTCCATCAGTTAATGAATGCATGCTTGTAAAAGGCGTTTTAACTTTAAACTGTCACTTCTGGCCAAAATATCCATGAGCCATAATAACACTATTGTTAAGAGTCCATAATCCATTATAATACTTCCATCCACTATAAAAGTCCATCCACTGTTGTTCTCTTACAACAAAATCCACAAAAATATTTGTTTTCGCTTGTAAACAGTACTTGATCTGTGCCTATTTCTCTCCTGATTTAGATGATACAGATTTTTCAGTGGAGAAAGGAATATTATTAATAGAGGACTTGTATTTCAGCCAGAAGAAATGTTTTGAAGATAAAAGGTCTTAATGATGGGTTTGTTTACCACAATCACACAGCTTTTTACTTTTTTTTTACAGACCATAGAATTTAAACAACACTGTCAACACTGTCCCACTGTCAGCCCAAACACAATACTGCACTACACAATACTAGTCAAGATTTATGCACATATATGTTTGTTTAAGAGAAAGTTTGTTTTTAGATGGTGGTCGTTTCACTTATGTTAACCAAGTTTTAAGTTTCAGTGGTCCTGTGGTGTGACAATGATTTTTATTCCAAGTAGTCTCACAAGTGATACAATTTGTACAGTGCCATCACAAATGCATGCACAATATTTATAATAAAATATAACTGCTGTGTATATTATTATAGCACATGTCACACCATAGGACATTTAAAGGTATTTTGACACATAGTTTCCAACAGTTTGGCTCCCATATGCAGCATCTGCACATATACATACATTTTTTAAACTTATTTTATGCTTATTAAGGATTAAATTATCTGGAGACATCCCACAGCAGGACTGAATAAATGAACTTTGGGAAGTAGATCCACATAAACATTACAAACTGACAATAGGAGGTAAAATCTCCTCATTTATAAGTTAAAAATGTCTTATTTACTTCCTGTTACGCCCCATGCAAACTTTGTAGGGATCCCTAAGAGACTGCCCAATTAAAAACTGATTTTGGGAGTGACTCCAGCTTGATACAGTTTTGTATTACACGATGAGGACACTCAAATTTCCATGCAACTTCTACATTTTGCTTAAATAAATAAATAATTACATAAAATTGCTAAAAATGTTTTGAAGTAGCCAAACATTATTTTAAGATTTATAGACAAAATCTGTTGTTTTTATAAAAATATGTCAATTTTCTTCTTTGTTGTAACACTTTACGTGCCCTTTCAGCAATTGATACTTGTTTCCCCTTTTAAAAAAAAGCTATATGCACCGAACCAATAAACACATCCATTGTATCTCACCATTAAAAGTGCTCAGAAGATGTTTTAGCATTGTCCACGTCTCTCTGGGTGATCAGATCATTGCTCCTGCTGTGTCTGTTTAGTCCTCCCAGTATGGATTCTTACTGTGGACTGTCTGATCCCGCAGGACAGAGCCGTGTCCCTGCCTGTCCCCTCCTCCCAAGCCCTCCGATCGGACACTTAGGCCTCTGATCACTGAAGAATCCTTCCAAATCTTGACACAGGTGCTCTGTTAAGACAGGCATGGCCACTCATCCTGATTACAGGAGATTTATGGATTAACATTCAGAAATGGCAGCTGCCAGGAATCTGTGGTTGTAAGGTTGTCACTGCTTCATTTCTCCAGTCTGAGCTGGCATGTTTCTCTAACTATTTTCTCTAACTGTATCTCAAACTATTTTACAATTAACTGGTAATTTTATTGCAGCTTTATGTCACTCAATACAAGCACTAAAGAATTTTACACTTACAATCCATAAAACAGTAAACCTCACAAAGCATGTGTATTCTGGGAAAAGTATTATGAACTTTGCTGCAGTTATTATAATCATCCTGCCGCTAATTGAGCAGGAGTTTCTAGTGAGTTGTATTGTATTGTTCCTTTCCCATTTCTGCCAGGCATGTCTTCAAACTGCCTGTGTCATATGTGCCCTGAAATAGCTATGGATCAGAATATGGTAAAGTTTAGCCAATTAAAACAAGCTTAAACATATCAGAGAAGCCCAGATAACACCTCGTGCCACACATCTTACAGCCAGGCATCGCTCATCTTGCAGCAGTCATGTGAAAAATCAGAGGGACTGAAACTGAAATTAATCTAATCAATTGTTATTAATTTATTCCAATATCATAGTCGTTTCTTGGCCAACCGGTGAAGACACCTGTTATTTTAGGCCTTATGGATGTGTAACTAATTAGATAAAAAATCGAATCATTTCCATGTATGACATGTAATTAAGTTAATTGTAATTCACTTCCTATTAGTGGTCATGTTTCGTGGAACTTCCAAACTCCCCCAAATTATGATTTAATCAAAACAATGTGTCTCATTCACATATGCATACGCATAAATGCACATTGTGTGTGAAATCTGTATACAAATGCTTTTGCACTGAAATTTTAATAGGTTTGTACTGGTAGGTCAGAGGAGAAATTGTTGGGGTTTAAAAGGAGGCTTAAAAGAGAATCAGCTTTCAGAAATATTATAGATTTGACTGCACTGACAATACTGGATAAGAACAAACCTGACACTACTATGTCCTCTCCTTGAATCACAACCTTAACGCGGTGGAGGGGTTTGAGTGCCTCCGTGACCCTGAGAGCTGTGTTGTCGGGAGCTAAAACTCCTGGTAAGGTCACCCTAGGCAAATTGGTCCCAGGTGAGATGCCAGACAAAGAGTGGTCCTATTTACTTATTCCAAAATTTAGGAGAAGGAAAACTCTGATTTCAAACCTCCACTGCCTTGTGGCATACCCGGTCATGGGGAAGGCTTTGAGAGTCAACTCTGAAGAAAAATCCAGAGCTGGAGTTCCTAAGGCAGTCCGCTGCTGTTTCAGCAACGTTCCGGCAACTCCTGCGACATTGTTTGGTGCCAATCTGTACCGGCTTCTGCCGCTCCTTTGGGTTCATCAACAGTGTGGAGAGTGGGGACCTGCTGCATGGGCAACAGCTTGTTCTTCTTTTTATATTACCCTGCCCTGGCTTGCGCCCTGGAGAGGTCACTCAAGCTTCACATCATGGCGTCGAAACAACACGGGAAGCAGCAGTTTACCAGTTATAAGCTACAGCTCAATTGGCGTAGAGCATAGCGCCAGGGGTTGCTTCTGACAGTGGGAGAGATCCTCGGCTCTCATTGGACAGCTAGCGCCCGCCTAAGCTGGGCAGCCCCCAGCCAAATAGGTGTTGTCCCGTCACAGTCTGCCTTTCCCAATGGGTGCTTGGGGATTAGGAAAACTCAGACAAGCAGATTGTAAGATTTGCACCAGGCAAGAAAGTAACAAGATCAAACATCAGACAAAAGAGGCCAGCCCTCAAACTCGGAAGTTGGAATGTACGTACAATGACAACAGGATTATGGGACCTGCTGCATGGGCAACAGCTTGTTCTTCTTTTTATATTACCCTGCCCTGGCTTGCGCCCTGGAGAGGTCACTCAAGCTTCACATCATGGCGTCGAAACAACACGGGAAGCAGCAGTTTACCAGTTATAAGCTACAGCTCAATTGGCGTAGAGCATAGCGCCAGGGGTTGCTTCTGACAGTGGGAGAGATCCTCGGCTCTCATTGGACAGCTACCGCCTGCCTAAGCTGGGCAGCCCCCAGCCAAATAGGTGCTGTCCCGCCTTCCCCAATGGGTGCTTTGGGATTAGGAAAATTCTGACAAGCAGACTGTAAGATTTGCACCAGGCAAGAAAGTAACAAGATCAAACATCAGACAAAAGAGGCCAGCCCTCAAACTCGGAAGTTGGAATGTACGTACAATGACAACAGGATTATCAGAAGATCTCCAAAATATTAGTGATGTGAGAAAGACAGCTGTCAGTAACACCAAGCTCCTGAGACTGCAGGTTGACATAGCTGCATTGCAAGAAACATGCTTAGTTGACATGGGTATGCTCAGGGAAAAAGACTACTCCTTCTTCTGGCAAGGAAAGAGTGCTGAGGAGCACAGAGAATTTGGAGTTGGTTTCGCAATAAGGAACACTTTGCTGAAAATAGTTAAGACACCAGACAAGGGTTCTGAACGTCTTCTGACTTACCGTCTCCATACACATGATGGCCCAGTCACTCTCATCAGTGCCTACGCTCCTACACTGACATCTACACCTGAAACAAATGATAGTTCTATGCCAATCTCAGCAGTGTGATCAAGAATATCCCCAGCAAAGAACACCTTGTTCTCCTTGGTGACATCAGTGCCAGAGTATGCAGCGATCATGACTCTTGGCCTTCATGTTTAGGACGTTTTGGAGTTAGCAAAATCAATGAGAATGGGCAACGCCTGCTAGAGTTGTGTTCCTATCATGGCCTCTGTGTGACCAACTCCTACTTCCAGACGAAGCCTCAACACAAGTGTCATGGAGACATCCTCGTTTTAAGTATTGGCACCAGCTGGATATTGCCATTGTCAAACAAACAAGCCTTAAGCTTGTGTTTCTCACCCGCACTTACCACAGTGCAGACTGCGACACAGACCACTCTTTAGTGTGTTGCAAGATCAGGCTACAACCTAAGAAATTGCATCGTACCAGACAGGCAGGGAAGCCTCGCATCTACACCACCATGATGCAGTACACAGAGAAAGTTGAAGATTTTGCCAAATCTCTTGAAGATGCTCTGCCTGCAGACCACTTGCACAACTCCGCCTCTGAGAAATGGGACCACCTCCAGGAATCTATTCAGAAAACAGGCTTTGCAGTCTTTGGGAAGAAAACCTTAAAGAACAGTGACTGGTTTGAAGCCAACATTCTGGTTTGATAACATTCCCCCAGACCTCCTCAAGAGCTGCAAGAAGACACTCCTACAGCCCTTTCATGATGTTCTCTGCCAGTGTTGGTGTGAAGGAGCAGTACCTTGAGACATGAGAGATGCCAAGATTGTCACCCTCTATAAGAATAAGGGTGACAGAAGTGACTGCAACAACTACAGGGGCATCTCTCTGCTTAACATCGCAGGCAAGCTTTATGCCAGCGTCTTGTTAGAGCGTCTCCAAAAGCTAGCGGAGCGTGTTCTCCCTGAGTCCCAATGCGGCTTTCGCTCAGAACGATCTACTATGGACATGATCTTCTCTCTCCGCCAACTACAGGAAAAATGCAGAGAGCAGCAAATGCCCCTTTACATCATCTTCATTGATCTCACCAAGGCATTCGACCTGGTCAGCAGGAATGGGCTGTTTAACATACTTCTGAAAATTGGATGCCCCCCAAGGCTGCACAGCCTGATCAGATCATTTCATGATGACATGAAGGCAACCATCCAGTATCAAGACAGTATATCAGAACCTTTCTACGTCAAAAGCGGTGTGAAGCAAGGCTGTGTCCTTGCTCCTACCCTGTTTGGAATCTGTTTTTCCATGCTCCTAAAACATGCTTTTGGGACCGCTACTGAAGGGGTGTATTTACACACCAGATCAGATGGGCGACTTTTCAACCTTGCAAGACTGAAAGCAAAGACTAAGGTGCACAAGGCCATCATTAGAGATCTGCTCTTTGCTGATGATGCTGCCATCATCTCACACACTGAACAACAACTTCAGCGCCTCATGGACAGATTTTTCCAAGCATGTGATGAATTCGGACTTACTATTAGCCTGCAAAAGACAAAAGTGCTAAGCCAAGATGTGGATACTCCTCCTGTCATTATCATTGACAGCCATGTACTTTATGTTGTCCGCCAGTTTACATATCTTGGGTCCACCATCAGCGACAATCTGTCCCTTGACACCGAGATCAACAAGCGTATTGGCAAGGCTGCAACAACCCTAGGCCGACTCACCACTCGTGTCTGGGGGAATAGTAAGCTGTCTACTTCTACCAAAATGGCAGTGTATAATGCCTGCATTGTCAGCACTCTACTGTATGGCAGTGAAACATGGACAACATATACCAACCAAGAATGAAGGCTGAATAGCTTTCACTTGCGCTGCCTTCACCGAATCCTTGGCATAAAGTGGAGCGACAAAGTACCCAACACCTGGGTCCTTGTACGTGCTGGTCTCCCCACCATGTACACGCTGCTTAGACAACACAGGATGCGCTGGCTCGGCCATGTGCGCCGGATGGAAGATGGCCGTAGCCCAAAGAACATCCTGTATGGCGAATTAGCCTCTGGCAAGAATTAGCCTCTGTTGACCTTCCCCAGCTGCGTTATAAAGATGTCTGCAAGCGTGATATGAAAGCTCTGAACATCAATCCAGAGAACTGGGAAGACGTTGCAGCTGAAAGCAACAGGTGGCGCAGTGTCCTTCAGATACAGCTTAGGTTGGGGGAAGAACAGATCAAGACCTTAGCGGAGGAAAAGAGAGATAAGAGAGCAAAAAGAGTCCCCAATGACACCGCCACAATTAAACATACATGCATCCACTGTGGCAGAGTCTGTCTCTCCCGCATCGGACTTATTACGCTGCTCCAGAGGCGTCGACACGACTTCACGACAGGGCGCATCTTCCATGGTCGACAACGACTGAAGGAGGCATACTACTATGAGAACTGAACTGAACAATGACAATTTCTCTTTGGTAGAGCTGCCTTTGAAGTTGTTTCATTATTGAAATTTTGAAACATTGCCACAGTAACTAAATGGAATTGAATCAACACTGAACTCGGTTTTTCCAAATAAGATTAATATTGATGTTTTAAATTAATAATATTGATTCTTTAGAGCTGCTTTATAGCTTAATAGAATTTGTTTTGTAATTGACGAACTTTAAGATCGGCACTGCCATCGAACTGAATCAAATCCACATTGACCTGACCTGAATAATGACATTATTGTCTTTTCTAGAGCTGAAATTTATAATTGTTGACATTTTACATCACTGCTATTTTCTTTTTTTATTTCTGTTATGCTGCTCCAAAATGGTCTGTATTTAATACAAAAAAAATTGACCTGATGTAAAAAAATTTCTAAATTTATAATCTATTTAGAATCAACGGAAAAAACTCATATACAAAACTCACATAAGTTCTCATATGATGGAAGTCTGAGAACTTTTTCTGCCCACATAAATGCACAAAATGTATGAAATGATTAGTGAGGCCCAATGTGCTTTGAAATTTCATCATACCGAGAAAGCAGAAACTCTTAAAGTAGGGCCCTTATGCATGACATCATAGTATTGTGAAAAACCACAAGAACAAACAGACAAAGTACAAGGATTTCAAATTCAGTTAGGGTTATCCAGCAAATTGAGCTGACACATTTGCTGGTTAGCCACAAAATACATTTTGGCCCACGTCATAAGGGCCTTGGAATGAAAAATCTGAACAAAACAAACTTTAGTGACTGGAATGGTGTATTCCAGATGGAAATTTTTACTAAATTCATGGTTTCTCTATTTATAGTAGCCCGGTTACAACTGGAACTATCATTTCAAATCTCTATGTCAGAAGCATGTAGTCTTATAAACACAAAGTCCATTCATAGTTCTCTATTCAAGACCACAATGACACCAAAATACCACAAACACAAATCAGTGTAAACTGTCATCCTCATTTCTTTGCATATGCAAAATATCACTTTAAAAATACAGTTAGCCTTTATCATTGACTTTAAATTTATATAACTAAATATAACTTCATGATGAGTATGATAGTAAGCCTATATAAAACCAGTGTGTAAAGTGTTTGCTCAGTTGAAAGCAAAACCAGCCAAACCTTCAGGAATTTTAGAGCTGGATCACGTCAGGTTGGCTGGATGAGTTGGATTCGAAGAGCTTACGGATTGGTGATGTGCGGCCACAGTTATTTTCTCAGACTGTTGACCTGAAACAGAAGAGTTATTGCAGTGCAGACTCAGGAAATGAGGCAGAGAAAGAGTCTCAGTTGGCCTTAGAAATCATTCAAGTAGGGCGACTCTCTCCACTAGAGGAGAGAGATTTAATAGAAAAGAATTCTGATATGTGTTGGTTAAAATGTGTCTGGTAATATAAATACCACGCAAATTAGATATATCGCAGTGTTTACTGCTTTACAAGTGCGCTTTTGAGTGCCTATTCCTCATTGTGCCAGCAGAGGGAAGCAAACTGCACCATTACGGCATTTGTTACTAGATACGGTGTTGTTTATGTAGTGTTCTCAGTGTACTCGGTGTACCGTCACAAAATCGACCTCAGCACAATACAATGCTTAGTTTTGACATGATTAATTTAAGTGTACTTTCGTTTATAGTTTTTTGTGCATAACTTTTTAATGAACTTCCCAAGTCATCATATATTCATGGAGAGACCTGTAATTAATGAGGAACGCATGACTGTTGTTTGGCGTTTTTGAAGTGCAAGAAATCAGTTTTTCAATGTCAGTCACGGTAAACTGTTTACACACACACACACACACACACACACACACACACACACACACACACAGTACCCTATGGTAATTCTAATTATGTGCAATTATAGCATAATTATATACAGCACACTGTTGTTATTTTCAAAGTACTGAACGTCCTTCTAATGATACACACACACACACACACACACACACACACACACACACACACACACAGTACCCTATGGTAATTCTAATTATGTGCAATTATAGCATAATTATATACAGCACACTGTTGTTATTTTCAAAGTACTGAACGTCCTTCTAATGATATGTTGTAAGCTTTTTAAAAAAAAAAAAAGATCTGATGTTTGTTCCAGAGAGACCAGCATAGCTTTAGCTCTCCTTATTAGTACCATATGATGCATTTGTGTGTGCGCGTACATGTATGAGGTGAGTGTTTGCAGGATGACGGGCTACTGAGCACTAAGTTTAGTCACAAAAGCAGTGCTAAAGACAGACATGTGCAGAGTTATTATTAGACTCTTGGCAGTGTTTCCACAGCCCATCTTTACACTGTTTGGCTCCAGCTCGGAGGGGCTCAGGCGGATCACGTTCCGCTTTCCACCGTCCTCCTCTTTTTTCACAGATCTCAGTGTCCGTGAACATACACCATCACAGAAGAGTCTGTCTAGATGAAAATCCGACCCAAATTTGTGTGCGGTTTGGGCTGTAATACGAGAGAGAGAGAGAATAGACTAACATACGTAATTGTATAAACGTGTGTCTTGACTCCAGGCCAGGTGAAGAGGGAATGAGCAGCAGACTCAGGAATGTGTATGTCTACTCTGCTCAGAAAAGCACACATATATATTGTGGGCCACCCAAGTATGTGTATCATGACACGGTCATTCATTTAACCTGGAAAATATCAAGGCTAAAATAAGCATGGGTCTCGCACAGGTTCAAGATAAGTAAACAAAACATCTAGCAAAAAGCCTTTTTTTATGGTGGGTTAATTGGATGAATGATTTCTAGCACAATACATAAGCTACTCTATGAAAAAAAGTTAGTTTGTTTTGAAGTTTCTGTTTAGTTTTTCTAGTATATTTAGTTTTGAAGTTTTAGTATTTCAGGGCTGCCAAAGTATGTTTAAAGATGTTAAAAGCTGTGGCTATTGGAATTTGTCACTTTTAATGAAGTGGATTTGTAAGAGTTTTAAATTTTATACTGTGTATCAAAAATTAATTTGAATAAATTAATTTTAATGTATTTTAGTTTAGTTTTACTTTTCCCAATTGCTTTTAATGTTTGTTGTTTGCTTTTATGCTGCTTGTTATGCTTTATTTTATGAAAATGTTTTCATTTAAGTTTTTGTTAACAGCATTGGTTGTTTTTTCTTTAAATGGGACTTTAATAATATTAATGACAATTACGTTTACAATTAATCATTTTGCAGATGCTTTTATCCAAAGTCACTTAGAGTAAGATTTTGTTTGACATTTTTGAAAGAAGTCTCATTCATCAAGACAGCATTTATTTGATGAAAAATACATTAAAACAGCAATATTATTTTTTATGTATTTTATTATACATTTTAAATAACTGTTTACTATTTTAATATATTTTAAAATGTAATTTGTTGTGTTGGCAAAGCTAATTGATCAGCAGTCATTACACCAGTCTTCAGTGTCATGTGATCCTTCAGAAATCATTCTAATATGCTTATTATTATCAATTGAAAAAGTTGTGCTGCTTGATATTTTTGTGTAAACTGTAACATTCTTTAAAAAGAACAGCATTTATTTGAATATATCATTTATTGTAACAATGTAAGTATTTACTGTCACATTAGATCAATTTAATGCATCTTTGCTGAATAAAAATATTAATTTCTTAAAAGAAAGTATTACTGATTAGGGCAAAAAATGTTGAGAAACACTTCATTAGACTCATGTTTAGAAATTTCTGGAAGCCTCCTTCTCCTCAAGTTTTTTTGGTAAGTTTTAAAGTGGACAGCCATTATGAATTATATCTGACAGCTTCTGTGTCGGTGCCCTGAGCCCAGAACAGCTGCCTTATTTGGGTTATTTGCTGCTTTTTATGCTTGCACCATGCCAAAAGCCATGTGTCATCCATTCAGACTGGATAGGAAACAAGAAGAGAGAATGACGGTGAAAGTACAAGAAGAAAAGGAGGAGGACGAAGAAGTAGGAGATAGAGGAGAAGGACAGAAACTTGAGGATTGTTCTAAGAATCAGTGTGGTGTTGTGCAAGGGAGGCACAATAGAAGATGAAATGAATGTAGAGAGGGTGGAGAGGAGTCGGCTGAAGGGGTGGTAGTTGCACGCAGCCAATGACAATCCAGAAAGCCTGACTCATGAGCGGTTAGATGTTCTGTTCACAAAAGGTCCCAAAAGCCAAGGAACTTGCAAAAACAAGTTACTTTTCTCAAAGGAAAGGAAAGGAGAAAGAACAGAAAGCTATCTTTACGGTTTACTGTGGTGTGGTTAACCCTCACTCAGGAACAACCCTGGTTTTAGGGGGAGGGGGAGAGAGGCCTGACTGAGACCCACAGCAAGACCTTCCCACCTGTGTGAAGGACAGGAGCCAGAGAAGACACTTTAGTTTG